GGATTTGAGCTGCTTCTTGACGATCAATGTATGCAAGTAACTCTTCTTGTCTCATCAGAGCTTCGTAAAGCGCTTTCTTGGTAGCTATTAGCTCTGCTTCAAGTGCGTCTACTCTGCAAACTGCCGCGTTTAACAGTTCTTCTTTCTCGTAAGGCATCTCACATGGCTTTGATTGGAGAGTCCCGATTTTGCCTTCTAGCTCTGTTAGTTTCTTCATCACAGATGTTAGGAGCTCGGTTTCTGTGAGATCAGGTACAGGAGAAGGAGGACGAAACTCCTCTTCAGCTCCTTCACCATTACAACCAAGTTCTGTTGCGTTTCCCTTGGTTTCTGGTCGAGAATTAGTGGCCGCTGGAAGTTTTTTGGTTACGCGGTAAGATACAGTGCGGAAGAATGTGAAAACCGCCATCACGTATGTCATGAACATTATTAAGACCCGAGCTTGGATGCCTTCAGGGTCCTTTGGAACGGTGGGCGACATCAAAGCACCTGAAAGGAGACAAAGTGATAGAACTAAGTTCACAAAACAAGGTAATCCCAAAAAGCTTACAAAATTACAAAGGAAAATCCAGAAAGCTCTGGTATTACATATATAATAAGCGAACTCCAAAACGATGCTAATCAGAAAGGAAATCCTATGTAAACAAGGAATAGAAATCCTACTTTGAATCAATGACATAAACTACTATCACGAGAAACCTAGCATCAATTTTGGGCCACTTAGGAAAAGATGTGTGTTTCAATATTTGGCCTACTAGTAAATAAGCATATAACAGCTATCTAACCTTTTGAGGCCACTTTATGGATGGCAGGTTTCACCTTCCACGTTGCGTCGACGGCTTTGTCAACCATTGGTACGTACTCATCATAACCCGGAAAACTACCGACCAAGCTCGTTTCACCAGCTATCTTAGCCTGCAAAAACGATAAACATAAACATACTCACCATGCAAAGTCACAGATACATTTGCCAAAACAAGCAGGCAGCATACAATTGGAATCTAATAACAGTCAAACATAAACATCTGCATAATCCAGAATCTGAAATGCAAATAGAAAGAAAATTACCTCTTCACGAACAGGTGTCAAGCGGAGATGAGAGAAACTCTTTATAGCCTTTGGAGACCCGATATCTTCAGCATCAGATCCTGACTCCGCAGTGGAAGTGTCACTTCCCTTTATCTGTGTTTACGAGAGAGCCAGAGTTTAGGTACCATATGGTCAGCTACAAGTCAAATGTTGACGAGTTCGAAGAGTTCAATTACATACCCACGCAAATGATGGTTTTGCATAAGCAATTACTTTCCCCTCACTGTTCAAAACTTTCACCACCTGCTTCGCACGATGTGCTCCTCCATGAAGCACCATCTGAAATGAAGTGAAGATAACCAGCTGTGTCAGCTTCAGAACTAGTAACTATGTAATAGGAACAAAAAGAAAAAGAGATGAAATAGTTAAATGACCTTCACAATTTCTGGGTTTTTCCAAGGTCCCTTGTCAGAAAGCATGCAACCACCTTGATCTGCGCAAGTGCATGCACCACCCAAGAACTCGGGCAGCTCGCTGTAAACAGTACAGACCAATTTGGACATAAGAAAGGAAGACGTGCAGCTTTTTATTGAATAGTTCAAACAAAATCCAGTGGGGAAAAAGGATCAGCAAATCAAGGTTCACATACTTGGCATCAATGACTTCAAGCAATTTGCTCTGATACTTGTATCCAAGGACCTGCATTACAATGGAATAGTCACAATTGAATTCCATATAACTAGAGACAAGTCTTTTTAATGTAGATATAACCAGATAATTATCATACATGAATTTTAGAAGATGTTTTTGGGTCTAAGAAACTCTTCACAGTGTTCCAGAGCAACCTAAATCCAGGCCCTGCATTGATAATAAACATTTGGTGGAGAGTCTGCATGAATTACACAAAGTCAAGATTAGCATATGGTAAAAGAATCCTTCAATACCTTTATCACAGAAACAGATGATATAAAGTAGTATTAGAAACTCCAACCAAAAATTACCTCAGGATAATTGTCTCCATCTATCTTTTGTAATCGTGTGATAAGCTCCCGAGCAGACTTGGTAAAGTTTTTCAATCCCTGAATATAACATTATACGAAGCAACAAAAGCCATGAGAAAAACACATTTCACACACATTGGATACTAAACCTGAGTGGAGAATAATAACATCAAGGAAATGTAGGCAATTACCACTCCTTGAACATCTAGAATAGTTGTGCTCGAATCAATATGCTTCTTTGCAGCAATTGTGCAGGACGGAAACTTGATCATAAAGCATCTCTCAAACTCCTTTACATGATATCTTATATATCGGTCCATGCTTGTTACTTGCATGAGTCTATTAGGATCAACTTTCCCAAGCCTCTCAATGTAAACAGGCCTTCCTTCTTTATCAACACCGTGATAACCGTGGGGATAATATGTCAAAACTTCATTAATCTCTTCGAAATCAAAATCCTGTTTGTCCCAAATAATAAAAGGTAAAAAAAAAAAAAACATCATCTTGTTAATCGAAAACAAGGGCTAACACAATCTTCTGTTAAAAGTAGCATACCTGAATAATAGTGTCAGTACCAAATTCTTTCCTCCACTGAATCATATCAGCCCACATTTGCTTTGATCTGTCAATGTCGAATTTCCTGGCTTTCAAGAACCTCAACATCATGTGATAGTCATCGTGTCTATCCGGAAGTAGCTCGTCGATTAACAATGCTTGACGGAATGCATCAACAGCCTGTAGCTCCTCGACATCACGCACATCCTCAATGGACACAGAACTGACTCGGCCATCA